AGGTCCGAAGGGCGAAGTCTCCTTCTGAGGATGTAAACCGGCCCTGAACCCGTTTATACGGTTCGGAGAGGGGTTCAAATGGGCTCTGAGCCTAATGGCTCAGGAATGCCCACATTAAAAAGGCCTCGTGCCGCATGACACCCTCGTGGGTGGGTGGCTGAATATCTCAGCACTCCAGATACTTTCTGAGAGACTGATCGGTTCAACTCTCTGTCTCCGGACGGAGGGAACCCGCCGAAGGGCGAAGTCCTTCGGGGAGGTAAAACGGCCCTGAACCCGTTTATACGGGTTCAAATGGGCTATTTTTTGGCTGAGCCTAATGGCTCGGGAATGCCCACATTAAAAAGGCCTCGTGCCGCATGACACCCTCGTGGGTGGGTGGCTGAATATCTCAGCACTCCAGATACTTTCTGAGAGACTGATCGGTTCAACCTGTCTCCGGACGGAATAACCCGAAGGAGGCTACGCCGAAGGGCGAAGTCTCCTTCGGGGAGGTGAAACCCGTTTATACGGGTTCAAATGGGCTATTTTTTGGCTGAGCCTAATGGCTCGGGAATGCCCACATTAAAAAGGCCTTGTGCCGCATGACACCCTCGTGGGTGGGTGGCTGAATATCTCAGCACTCCAGATACTTTCTGAGAGACTGATCGGTTCAACTCTCTGTCTCCGGACGGAGAGGAACCCGAAGGAGGCTACGCCGAAGGGCGAAGTCTCCTTCAGGGGAACCCGTTTATACGGGTTCAAATGGGCGGCCCTAATGAATGCCCGTTTATGACACCCTCGGGTTCAAATGGATACTTTCTGAGCGACTGATCGGTTCAACTTTTCTCCGGACGGAGAGGAACCCAGAGGGAGGCCTAATGGAACCCGTTTATACGGGTTCAAATGGGCTATTTTTTGGCTGAGCCTAATGGCTCGGGAATGCCCACATTAAAAAAGGCCTTGTGCCGCATGACCCCTTGGGTGGGTGGCTGAATATCTCAGCAGTCCAGATACTTTCTGAGCGACTGATCGGTTCAACCCTCGTGGGTGGGAACCCGGCTGCCGAAGGGCGAATCTCCTCAGGGAGGTAAAACCGGCCCTGAACCCGTTTATACGGGTTCAAATGGGCTATTTTTTGGCTGAGCCTAATCGGAATCCCAAAAAAAGGCCTTGTGCTCTGGGTCTCCAGCAGACAGATACTTTCTGAGCGACTGCTCGGTTCAACCTCTTCCTCCGGGCGAGGGAACCCGAAGCTACGCCGAAGGGCGAAGTCTCCTTCGGGGAGTCTCCTTCGGGTTCAAATGGGCTATTTTTGGGAGCCTAATGGCTCGGGAATAAAACCGGCCCAGTCCAGAACCCGACTGTTTATACGGGTTCAAATGGGGAGGTTAAACCGGCCTGAGCCCGTTTATGGGTTCAAATGAATGGCCGAGCCTAATGGCTCTTGAATGCCCACATTAAAAAGGCCTTGTGCATGACACCCCTCGTGGGTGGGTGGCTGAATGAGCACCCTCAGAGGGAACCTGTGGAGGGGGGCTGAATATCTCAGCCCTCCAGATAAGGGTTCAAATGGGCCCGGTAAAAAGGCCTACCGTTGGACTATAGACTTTGGATATTGTTTCGTACTAACCAACCTTCGTTCTACTAATCACTCTATTGTTAATTGCTTTTATGAATATACCAGTATTTTCCTCTACAACTGTGTTTGTCTTGATTCATACACCGACACGCGGGAAACTCACAACATCTCAGAAAGAAAGGAAGAAGCTGAAAAAATAAGAAAAATAACTGAAGAAGAAGGGAGAAGCTGAAAGAAAGAAGAAGCAAAAATAATTGAAGAAAGAGAGAAAGGAAGGAGCTGGAAAGAAGAATATGAAAAAGAATTGAAGAAGGAAGAAGCTAAGAGAGAAGGAAAATTAATTGAAGAAGGGAAGAAAGGAAGAAACTGAAAAAAAGAATAAGAAAAAGAATTTAAAAAGAAGGAAGAAGCTGAATGGAAGAGGGAAAAGAATTGAAGAAAAAGAAGGGAAAGAAACTGAAGAAAGGAATAAGAAAAAGTACTGAAGAAGAAGATAGCAAGGAAGAAGCTGAAAGAAAGATTAAGAAAACGAACTGAAGAAAAAGAAGGAGGAAATGAAACAGAAGAAAGAAGTTCAAAAGAAGAAAAAGGAAAAATGAAGAAGAAAAAGAAGGTAAAGAGAAGGAGAACGCCTGCAAGAGAAAAATAAACAAAGTAAAGTTGAGGGAAGGGGACAATGAAGGCAGCTGAAGGGAGAAGGTTAAAAGCAATAAAGACATAAGCATAACCCGGAAGTGATTCCCTAATTCAGTCAGTGAGCCACACCTCACACTGGCTATTTCTCATTTGGTGTGCCAAAATGTGAAAAGTGACAACAGTTATTTATCATAACGATGTCTAATTGGATGACTGTGATTATAATAATGTATAATTCGCCCGGATGCATATCCCCGGGTGGCAATGGTAACAACAGCAAAAAGGTTTAGGAATTAATTGGAAGCCTGTCTGCTAAATGAAAGTTGGCCAAAGAAAGTGGTGGTGGTGGTGATGATGATAATGATGATGATGAAGAAGAAATAACAACAATGATGGTGATGGTAGGAGGAAATGAGTAAAGAAAGAATATTACGGCTATTAATAAAAGAAAAAAAGCAATATACAAGAAGACATATTAGCGGGCAAGGCCATATTTTCTAAATGAATAAACGGCAAATTCTGTCTATCCGTCCGTGCATTTGAAACCTCTCTAAATTAGCATTGCTGCTTTCTAAGCTGGACCAGCAGTTACTGGCTTAACAGTCCGCACGGGATGTGGCTTTTAAGCTAGTTTCCAATAAGCAAAATATTTAGCTGTATTTTCAGACTAATTTAAATTGACTGGAAGTAATTTTTTAATTGCTAAAAATCGTTAATTTCAGCCATTTTTAGCCATCTGTTAGCACAATGTAATTCTCTTTATTAAAAAATTTGTCAGAAATTAGATATAGTTTTCTGAAACTTTCTTTGAGGAATATTAACTGATTTAAAGCTTAATTAAACTGTAACACCGTATCCTCACCCCACTGGACCCAATCAGTGAATGTTTCTTGTATGTGAACAATAACCAAACTAACACAAATACTTCGAATAATTTCGGTAAGGAGAGATGTGGCCTTCGTTTTAACCCTTTTTTGTCTGTTCTTAGCGCAGCTACTACAACATTCGATGTTCCCGTTCTCAGTAGTAGTAGTAGTAGTATTAGTAGCAGTAGTAGTAGTAGTAGTAGCGGCACTTAAATGTTAGCGGCTGTATTTCGCTTCTTTGCCCTCAGCTTCAGCAACACACAGCGGACGCTTCCTTTTCAATCTCTGAAGTCTCTCCACTCAGTTCGAACCCAAAACTCTCTGCCTCCTCCGGTTGGCTCGCCTCTTTATTTATTATTACTACGTATCCCAGATTGCTGATGTATCTTTTTTTTCTAGTACGAACGTACTGACATACTAACAAAGTAAATCTTCACTCCTCAGAGAATAAACAATTTACTTTTTCATCGATTGTTTTCCAAGGTTCACAACAAGACGCTGTTGTTTATCACCTCGCTATTAATTATTCTGCCGCTCTTTGTAAACTACAGAGATTCTTGTTTTAAAAATAAATTCTAAATCAAAACATCCTTAATTTCAACTTCGATTCTTATAGTGTCAAAATCCATTTCTTTGTTTAAAAGTTCCAAATTATTATTGTTCCAGTAATTTTCCATTATTAATCTGATATCCTTTGTACACTTATAAAAAGATTGTATTTCGTGTTCTAAATTAACTTTCTGTGACATTTATATTTCAAAGTCCTTACAGCATATTAACATCTTGATTATTCGAAAACGCCTCTCTTTCACCTGGTGTTTTCTGTTTTACAGCATATCATCCTTTATTATCATTATTAGTATTATTTCAGGGGTGATATCGCCCCTGCCATAAAACTGATTTGAAAAAAATATTATTTTTAGTTTAAAATATAGCAGAAACGCATTTTTAACAAAGGAGTCGGTGTTTTAATTAGGTGTTGACAGATTGACAGCCGGAAGTTTATCTAATTTTTTTCTGTAAGGAACATATCTGCAAAAAGTATTTGAGCAATATAACGTGAGCGCCTTTTTGTCATATAATTTTTAACTACCTTTTAAAAGTCTGCACGGGGTGCGGCTTTTAATCTAGTTATTAATAAAAAGAACTGATACTAGTCGATTTTACGGCATGCCAATCCTTGAAGCGTTATATAATGTTGCATTTTGTAGAGTGCACCAGATGAGAACCAAACACACATCTCAGAAATAAGGATCGTCCAGACCAGTCTCACTATACATTAACCCACGATGATGTGGTTTTTGTAGTGCTGAAGCATAAGAATTGGTTTTTACGGCTTATCACCCCAATGCAGCTTATTTAAAACCAGAAGATATTTTTAGATTCTAAGAATTTTTCTTTTTTGGAAACAATAATGTTTTAGTGATAAAAGTATTACTAATTAACCCATAGCGGGGGATAAGGAGAGGTGGATCAGAATTTTATAAACAAACGAGAAATTATAATGTTGATAAAAAGTGGGGGATAAATTCTATATTGCAAGCAATCTATAAATTTATCCCTCACTTTTAGCCATAGTAGTTTCTACACATTTATATCCAAGAATATGCAAATAAATCTAAAATACATGTATAGCTTATGCCTGTGTAGCTAATCAGTATTTCATTGATTGATTGATTCGTTTTCTATGGTTTATTATCCCTTTGCAGGTTATTTAAAGCCAGAAAATATGTTTTAGTTTGTTAGAATTTTTTCTTTAGATAGTAATGATTTACTGATACAAGTCTTTCTAATTAACTCATAGCTGTGAGGGAGAAGAGGTGGACTGAGACCGTTCCCAAGGGTATTTGCGCGTAAGTGAATATAACGAATCTAACTGGAATTGGAACACTGATCTCCAATTAACAATTATACATTACAACACCCACACATCCAAGCTGACAACACCTGGTATTCTCAAGCGCTCACTCATCTAGTTACTGACCAGGCTCGACATTGCTTAACTTCAATGATCATACGGGAACCGGTTTTCAACGGATTCTGGCCGTAAGCCAATAATAATAACAACCATCAATATTAAGATTCTGCTGGTTTGTATATGCGACTGTTTCTTTTTTCTACCTTGGATCAGAGTGTAGTATCAGTTAGATTCCCGGCTTGCATCACTTATGCTTGCTGACTGGGAACCGAAACTATTGTTCTGCTTGTTTATATCTATGATTGCTACATCTTTCTACTTAGGATCATAGTGTAGTATCTGATCTCGATTTCCACCCTCACTAAAATGAAATCTGTTAAATTTTGGGGCGTTGACAGCTCATATTATCCATTATTTCTACTTTTTTTTTGTTGTTGTTGTTCTCTGGTATTGTTTCTTCCTCGCTTAATATATTTCTCGGTCAGAAAGCGTAATTGATTCTCGCTCAGATCAGAAGTGTCGGGGAATCGAGTAGATGCTACTCTTTTTCTAGCTGGAAAAAGTGTCATACATACCACTTAAGTGTCAATAGATACCATTTAAGAGTTATGAATACCAATAAACAAAATAATGATATGGTTTTCTTTCTTTTCTTCCTCATCTGTCTTTTTCTTCTTTTTATTACTCAGCTTTCCTTTCTTTCACCTTTACCCTTTCCTTTCTTCGTGTTCTTTCCATTTTCTCATAATTCACTCTTCCTTTCTTCTTATTCTCACCTTTACTCTTTTCTTTCTTTATTTTCTCCTTTCCTTTCTTCTTATCTTTTTCTAGCCTTTCTTCTTCTTCTTCTTCCTTTCTTTCAGTCTCTTCGCGTATTCTCTCTCATTCACGATTATCAAATCGGAACTTTTTGTTTTCATCACTCTGAATCGCAAACTTCCAAACTATTCCATTGCCTTTTAATTTTCAAGACCGTCAAGAAATTTGCCGATAACATTTGTCTATATGTCTGAACTCACGTCGTTTGCATAATTCTCAGTGGATGACTGTCCCTGCCCTGTCGTACTCAATTTTGTACACTTTCTGTTCTAGTTTACTTATGCGGTTTGCGTTTAGTCTCTTTCGATACAAATGCACCATCTGCGGTTTTTCTAGGTTCTTTCAATCTACTTCTTATTCTCACCACCACCACCACTGCTGCTACTACTACTATTACAACTGAAACAGCAGCATCATAACGTTGGGTTACAAATCTACGAAATCCAATATACAGGGCAAATTGCCGCCATTTTATATTTTCAATGCTCGTTGTTTGTTTTGAATTTTGTCGACTGCGCAGTATAGTAGGGTCAGTTGGACACCATCTGTGAGAAGAAGAGCACCATGACGCAATTCACTCAGCCAGAAATTTTGAAATGGCATGCTGTACTGTTTGGCATTCGCGCCGGAAGTGCCAATGCAAACATTTTAGAGTGTTTGAGCGTCAATCTGAGGACAGTGCAGAGGATTCAGAAACAGTTGAATGATATATCCAAACAACATCATGGTGTTTGAAGTGATTACTAGTGATGGCGATGCAATGACTACGTTCATCTTCCCACAGGGTCTCAGACTCAACATGGAGATCTACATAAAGTGCCTTCAGTAGGAAGTGCTGCCCTAGGTCAAAAGGGTGGCTGCTAAAAGACGCTATGTCTGGCCACAGGACTTTGCACCATACCACACAAGCAGGAAAACCCAGTCATAGTTCTCAGACAATTTCTGCGTTAACATCACCACTTACATCTGGCCACCTAACTCCCCAGACTGAATTTACTTTCTGGTATTTCAAGATATTTTTGTGTAATTTTGGTAAATATATCTGTTAAAATAAGATGTCAGTGTTATTTTCATTTTTGCGTAATTTAGACGACAATTTATCCATCGCATCCTGTATCCTTCATGACACAAAATCTGATACCAGGCAATTGCACCACAACCTAAAGTGCACAATGTAGATGCAGGTTTTTAGAAAAGACGTGTATAACTTTGCAGGTGTGGCCAATTTCTAAATAGCTTCAGGTTGCGTATCTCGGTCCGCTCAGGTGGTCTTCATTTGAGGTGTACGCAAGTATCCAGATGGGACATCCGAAGTCGCCTTGGTGGCGTAACTCATCAAATTGAAATGAAATAAAATAAAATAAACCTTTCGACATTCGATTATGATCTTCCTCCATTATTCGCGCTCATGAACAGCTGTACAGTCCCTTAAGGACAAAACCAACTAGTTATGATCAGACAATTGACAAGCGAATCTGTTCGGGAGATTTGCTGTAGTTCATTATCATTCACCAATACAAAACATGTACATGTAAACGCTTCCAATTAATTTTGAGCAGAAATCACGAGAGGCATGATTAGTTCAGCATCTGAGCATTTATTATTATTATTATTATTATTATTGTTATTATTATTATTATTGCTTACACACTATTATTATTATTATTTTCATTTATTTTTTTTTTTTTTTTTTTTTTTTTTTTTTTTATCTCCGAGCCTAGCGTTACATAGACAAAGTTCTCCCTTAGTGTATTTAAGACAATTTTTGTAGTCTTTTAAGCTGGGGTTTCCAATTTTTCAATGTGTTGTTTTGTTCCAAAATTCCAAGTATTTAAAAGAAACTTTTTTTCGTTTCAATTTCAGGTCTTTGTATTTTGATTTTTTCAAATTCCTTTTTACAATCCATGGACAAGCCATATCAATTAGTAGGCAAGTTTTTTCTTTCTGGTTTTTGACAATAATGTCCGGCCTATTTGCTTCAATTTTTCTGTCTGTGTGGATGGTATAATCCCATAGAATGGTGACATCTTCTTTTCTGTAACCGGCGCTGGCCGATTTCATACCAGTGTTTGCTTACACATTTTTTCCAAAGTGTTTGCACATTGTCCAGTGTAAGTTTCTCGTGACGATTTTTATATTCATTTGGGGCAAGTATAGAACATCCTGAGATTAGATGGTCTTTGTTTCTTTTTTGTCCTAGAACCATTTTGGATCCACATTATTATGTATGATATTTGCCTTTCCTAGTTCTGGTCTTGCTTTCAGTTTCAGACTTTAATCCAGATTTCCATCGATGAGTCTTTATCAACATTTTTATTTGCACGTTCTGGATATTGGCCATTTTTGTCTTGCCAGCGTTGTTTCATCTGTTCAAGGGCTTTATCCTTGGCTTTCTTTTTTCATATCTTTTGCTGCAATAGTTGGTTCTTGGCTTCTGTTTTGATTTACTTTACTATTATTATTATTTATTATTATTATTATTATTGTTATTATTATTATTATTTGTGTTCTATTTAAAAAAACTTTCTTTCAGTTTTTAATTCCTTTTTCTTTTCCTTTCTCTTTCCATTTCATTCTTTTTCTTCTTTTCCCAGTCTTTTTTTCTTTTTTTTCCATCTCTTTCTTCTTCCTTTTTTCTTCTTTTCCTATCTCTTTCAGATTCATTCTTTCTTCTACTTTTCTCATCTATTCTTTCTTCATTCGTTTTTCTTCTTTTCCTAACTCTTTCATCTTTATTCTTTCTTCATTTTCTATCTCTTTCTTTTCATCTTTCGTTTTTTCTCATTTCTTTCATATTCATGTTTTCTTCTTTTCCCATCTCTCTCAGCTTCATTCGTTTTTCTTCTTTTCCCATCTCTTTCTTCTTCTTTTTGCATCTCTTTCAACTTCATTCTTTTTTTCAAATCTCTTTCATATTCATTCTTTCTACTTCTTTTCCCATCTCTTTCTTCTTCATTCTTTCTTCTTCGTTTTTCACCTTTTCCATATTCATTCTTTCTTTTTCTTCTCCCATCTTTTTCATCTTCATTCTTTTTTCTTCTTTTTTCAAATCTCTTTCATATTCATTCTTTCTACTTCTTTTCCCATCTTTCATCTTCATTCATTCTTTCTTGTTCTTTTCCCATCTCTTTCAAATTCATTCTTTCTTGTTTTTCCATTCTTTTTCATCATCTTCTTTTCCCATCTCCTTCATCTTCATTCTCAAGTTTTACTGAACATAATTTGATTTAAAAAGAATGTTAAGTAGTCCAGCAATCTAAAATCAAAATACTGTAAAGTGGGTGAAAACAAAGACAGAATCAATATCTTTAACGCATGTTGCACCTCGTAAGAAACAAGACTAAAGGCGCCTTGCTCTTTTCCCCATTGTATTTTAGCCCAACAGCAGCAGTGACGAAATATCTCCCCTGTGGAGACAACGCAAATTAATCAAACCGAGGCGTCGAGATGATCAGTCCAGGGATTTTGGAGACACAGACATGAATATTTAACTGGATATCCTCAATCCTTCAACGTATATCCATAATCGTAAACCAATGGAAGGTGAATTAACGCGTACATGAACGCCAATACTTGAATATGATTAAAAAACAAACATTTGTTGCTGACATGACATCAGTATTAAAATGCATATGTGATATAATGGTTTCCCATTTGCGAGTATGCTCGTCAGCAAAGTTGGTTAACTAATCCCTGTTGCAAACGCTAGCTCAGGCATAGTTTCGTATCTTTGAAAAAGAAAAAAAACATGTTCACCTTAGTTATAGTTTCTGGCGGAGTGGAGAAAGCATAATCGGGCGTGTTCAACGGTTTGGACAAGGGCAATACGCTCAAACTCTCAGTCACGATGACTTGTTTATTTTGTGCTAGCACAAACATAGACGGCTTTTAATTTATTCAGTTTCACTCACAGGGACTGGGTCAATGCGTAAGATGATTTTTCAGGTATTTTTTAACAATATTACACGCTGGGATCCTCTACTCACGTCGATAGTATAAAGAAGTCACCTCCTTGGTAAATCCCAGGCCTCATGTACGAAAAAGATCACGTTCTAACCACTTGGCTTCGTGCCGATGAATTCATTCTAATATATATATATATATATATATATATATATATATATATATATATATATATATATAAGAATTAATGTATTTTCATTTTTAATCCTGTATTTAAACTTTGTTTGGTTGTGAGGCTGTCGGTAGCTGAGTGGTCTAAAACAAACTGGCTAGAACGTTGGTTCTTTCTATGAAAGAGGACGCAGTTTTGAATTCTGCCGAAGGGCATTTTCCGTTTATTAAGTTTTT